AATAAAGATTTAAATCTCTCCAAAGTGGCCCTCTTCCCTTGAATCCTTACGTCTGCTAGATTGTACTTTTTCTATACAGACAAAAATAGACAACCTTTCCAAGGTGTGATGATCACAGCCCCAAAATGAAAATGTAGGAAACTAACTCAGTCCTACATTCTAGCAATAGCAACCATCCCCATCCTCTTCACTCTTTATTTTTGTCAGAGAATTTTTTAAGTCTTTTAAAAATTACAGTAGATTTAAATTTTCTATTTTTATTTCCTTAATTATCTTTTTCTTCTTACGATTTAAAAATCTAGTTTTGTCAAAAAATGTTTAATTGAAACTTTTCGGAAAGCACACTTGTTACTGAAAAATTAATCAGCAAAATCAGTGAGCGAATTTTAATGATGATTACTATTTTAATGGGTGAATATTTTTAGCTCTATCTTGAATGCAGAAATGCTCTCTGACTTGGGGAGATTTAAAGTGAGTACAAACTGCGTTATGCCATATCTAACAAGCACAGATAGCGCATTATCTTAATTCAAATTAGAAAGATATTTATAGGATAGACGAAGATGCTGCAATATAGGTAATGAATAAATGATGCCAGAGGAGCTGAAATCCTGCTAATTGGGTGATGACACTGGCCCTGCCCTGGCTGTAGCCAGTTAACTGTCCTGCTGAAAACTGCAGTAATTTTACTTATCCCATTTTTCTTATTTTATGAAGAAAAAAATGTATCTGTCGATTCAGGTTAGAGCTGTACACTACTGTATTATACCTGGTGGAATATGTTTATGACTTTCATTAATCAAAAATGAGTGCTGTGTGTCTACTATGTAGTTGGAGTAGAGAGTGGAATTTTCCATAGCACATCATGTTATGAATTGCTATGACTCATAATACGTTCCCATAAATAAGCCCTCCATGAAATGTGTAATACTTGCCATGTGGAATATCTGTACCGATAGTTTTTGACCTCAGTATCTGTTATGTGAACTACATTTTCTGTCTTTTGTTTTCACAGTTGAAGCATTCGATGAAACCATAATATTTACTGCTGCACATTTGCTCACTGTCGGTGTAATATATTTCGAAGCAGCAATCCTGCTCTGATGGCGAGGGGAAGGGAGACACCAGGAAGGGAACGTGTCAAGGTTTATTCGGTGTGTCAGCTAAAAAGGGCAACAAGCAACTCACTGGTTTCTAGAATACCCTTGTGAGTGAAGTGAATTACACTGAAACTTGTTTTCAAATAAAGAAATTGCTACTTGAGAAAGCAACCTCATGGCACTGGGGATAAAGACTAACAAATAATAATAATAGTCATGATGACAGCCATGACAAGAACAGCCAGGTGGTTGTGCTAACTTGCTCCCAGGTGTCTTACTGCAGTGGCCCTGCTATCTCTTCTGGGCATTCACCATTGTCAAGGACAATGACCCCCGTGAGAGAAGGCATCTCTCTCTTCCCATTCAGCCCTTTTCCTCAGCCTGAAGACTGTGGATAAATAAACAATTAGAACTTTTGACTTCAGTAGCAACTGGCCTGAAACTAAAAATATTTCATACTTGGCAACTGGTGTCCATCAGACTGTGGAAGACAAAGAGATGCATCCACTATTTACCATTCTACCCCCAGCCCAGAGACAGTCCCTGGAATAAACCCAGTGGATCCCAGCCTTCCCTCCTGTCGCAAAAAGGAATAAAATTAAATTGGAAAGAAGGATTTTCCTTTCTCTGAGAAATGATTTTTGTTAATGATGTCCCTAGTGAAAATGTTTACTTAACCTTTGATAATAAATGAAATAACCACCTTATCAGATAGATACCCAATTCTAATTTTAGGTTGAAGATTTTAAGTCTTCAAAAGCATCCAACCATCTGCAGAAAATACCATATGGCCACTGCTCTGAAGGGTTCTTTTTACATGCCTAGGATCACACCATCGTACCCACTAGATGTTATATATACCACACACCAACACACTCATATCCACCTGCGTGGACCTCCTTTCCCATCACTTGAAAGATAAAGCTTACTTTCATTCACCTTAAAAGGGAGATTTTATTCTTTCTAAATATATACCTAGCAGCAAAATGTTATTTCTGTATGTCAGAATGGGACTTTGGTTGAAATAAGAGGGTAGATTTCAGTTCTTGTGAAACTAAACAGGAAGGAATGTAAGGCCAGGGGCTGTGGCTCACACCTGTAATGCCAGCATTTTGGGAGGCCAAAGTGGGAGAATCACTTGAGGCCAGGAGCTTAAGACCAGCCTGGGCAATACAGTGAGACTCTCATCTCTACAAAAAAGGTAAAACAAACAAACAAACAAACAACAACAACAACAAAACGAGTGCGTTGTGGTGGCATGCACTTGCAGTCCCAGCTACTGAGCCTAGTACTTGAGCCCAGGAGGTCAAGGTTATAGTGAACCATGATTGTGCCACTGCATCCCATCCTGGTCAATAGCGTGAAATTATCTCAAAAAAAAAAAAAGAAAAGAATAAGAAATACAATGACTTTTCTCTCTTCTCATTCCCATATAAAGGCATGTTTTTTTCCAGCACAACAGAAACAAACATTAATAGAAAATAAAATGAGATTCTATGATCATTCTTACTGAGATCTCATGTATTTGACTTTTCTCGTACACCTTTTATATGCGAGCATCGTCAAAAGCAAAGGAACATAAATATTTACACAATAAAAAATCCTCTCACCTTAGAAAAGTCTATTGTGAAAAATATAGACAACTGGCCACTCACCTCGCACCCTGAAGTCTTTGGTAATACACTGTGTTTGCATGATTTAATTCTCTTCCTTCTATTTTCCCGTCCTCTCATAAGATTTTCACCTAGGGAAGTCATAATTTGCTGAAACTCACTTGTGGTTCTGAAGAGCTTCCTAAAGGATTTTGACCTTGGGCTCTGCTAGACACTGCTCATATGATCAGGTCATCAGAATCAAGTCCTCATCCATCCCAACTCCGCACCCAATCTGCTGAGCATGGTATCAGAGAGAAGCTCTCATTATTACAATTTCTAGACGTTCATCTGCCTTCTTTTTTTGAATTCCTCATATTGCCTCTCCTTCTCAATGGCATTAAGTTTGTGCTCCGACATTTCTTTCTTTCCTTAGATTTTATCTGTACATTTCCATCTTAGGTTGAGTTCTCCCAGAAGCAGACTTTGAGATGAGGGTTTGGGTCCAAGTGTTTTGTGAAATAAATTCTTCCAGGAGAAACCAACTGGCCAGAAAGTGAGGACACTCAGCAGCAGAAGGTTCAGGCACAACCACAGACTCAGCCTGAGCTTGCAGGGAGACCAGGACAGCAAGTCACTGTGGTTAGCTCCTCCTGGAATCAGAGCTGAGTCCCAGGAGGGAAGCAGGAGAACAGCCCTCCTGGAGGAGGTGATCCTCTGACAAAGGCCCTTTAGCAGCAGAGCACAGAGGGGAAAATGCACACGTTGCTGGTGGAAGCTGAGGGCAGGATGGGTGAGAGCAGTACCTGCTACAGCTCTGCTCTTCCAGGTTCCCAAGTTGACTGATTCATTCATTCACTTTCTGCCCATTTATTAAATCAATGCCTTCATGATAGTGTAGTTTACTATGTACAGCAGTGATGTGTGAGAACTCTTTCAGAGTATCTCACATTCAACACATGCCATTCATGAGGGACACTTGAGTTTGCAGCACCTTTTAAATGAAGATTTGCCTCCAGAAATGTGTAATGACAATTGGAGAAATAAGGAAACAAAGGCAGAAAAGTTATCCTGTTTATATTACCTTAGCCACACCACTATAATAAATTAATGCCACAAATTAAAGTTGAATTTCAGTACTTTCTCTAAAACAAAAGGAAAAAAACATAAATAGCTGGTCATAGGTTTTTATAATTTGGTATTTGTGGTTAACTTAATAACTCTTATTCAGGAGATGCAAGCAAATGAGTAAGAACTTAACATTTTTTGAAAATTATCTGAGTTAGAATATAGAAATCATCTATTTTATTTCCACAACTATTGTTGTGGTTAAATTATGCTTTTGGTTTACTGATGAACAAACTAAGTTCTAAGTAAAATACTTGTGCAAAGTCGCTTAGTTGGCAAGAGATGAGCTGAGATTCAAATATGGATTTTCCTACTTTTAAAATGGCAGCTGCACTTTTAAATTTATATTATTTCCATCATAAATAACAAATGGGAAGGAAAATAGACAATGAGAGACAGAAAAAAGACTACCTAGAAACCGAGTCTTTGAAATCTGTTATTTCATCCCTCATTTACTAAAAAATTTAACCAGAGACCTAAAACTATCTTTATTTCTGTGGAATATTTAAATGATATTAGACTCTCCATTTAAAATAATGTGTTTTTACTATAAACTATGACAAACATTAACTCATGATTGAAAATTGCATTACACAGTTACAAGTTGCCTACATTTCCATTCACTTGCACATTCCTTCAAGAAATTATTAGGCATTTACTATGTTTTCTGGGGACTTCGGATAAAAAGATGATTAAGCATAACCTCTAGCATCAAAGGAGCTTATTATCTCATAATTGGAGTCAAAGAAGTTCATAAAATGCTGTAGGATCAGATGAAAGATGTGCTTTGTACCATAGGAACATAAACAATAGAATGGCCAATTCCACATGGAAGGCCCAGGAAGGGCTTCATAAAGAAGATTCTGTTTAATCAAATACTTTAAAATTAATAGGTTGACTTCAGCTACAGAGATGAAAAAGAGGAAACTCTGGGGAAAGGGAACCAGAAAAAGTAAATCAACAAAATTCAAATGTGTGCATCAGCATGGTTTTGTACCCTAAATATAAGTGGAAATTCCTGTGAACTGGGATATCTGGATGCATATTCAAAGAAAAAACAGGCCACCTAAATATATAAGTTAAGGAATTTAATTAGTTATAAAACATTTGAGAAACTGTCCAAAGATAAGATGACCATATTTTCTTTTTTGTGTTTATTAAACTTTTCATTGAAGAAAAAAATACCTACAGAAGAGGCAACACATTCTGTGAATGGTTTGATGAATCGTCACAAAGGGAACAGCCCTGCATAACCGCCACCCAGGTCAACGGAGAAACTTGTAGCATGTCAACCCCAGGTTTTCAGAGAGAATAGATTTTCCATGCATTGTGAAACTACCCCATCCTCTCCTCTAGTATAGAATGTCTTTGCCATTCCCAGCTCCTTCATTCTGTGCTCTGCCACCTTCACCTACTTTGTTCCTCTGTCTCTGTTTTCTTTAGTTTTCTACACTTAGAATGCTCCATATTCACTTAAGTAGAGATTGATAGATACTTAAAATCCTCAGTTGACCCCTCTTTTCTGAGCATACAGTTACACCAAGTCTCCTTGCTTCCCTCTAAAATAGAGGCGGTCGTGTGAGTAAATTCCTACCAAAGGAATAGGAGCTGATAAGACAGGCATCACTTGGGTTACTCCTCTACAGAAAATGGCTTTCTATGTTCCTTTATCAACTTCACCAACAACATGTACAAGACAGGGCAGAGCCGTGATGAACAAAATGAGGTCCCTGAGTCATCATGTGGAGGGGAGCTTCCTGCCAACCAGGAATGCAGCCTGAAATTTTTCAGGAGGAAGAATAAATCTCTTGTTGTAGGAAGCCACTGGAACGTTGGTGTACGTTTGTTACAGCAGCCAGTGTCACTCACATACCAGCCAGTGGCAAACCCAACGGGCAGGAAGCATTCACCCTGTAGAAAAGAAAATGCATTCATGTGAGGGATTTTAAGTTGCATGCATGATGGAAATATAGACTGTTGGGAGAAAGGGGAGGGCATTGAGGATATAGGCCCTGAGAGGGAGGAGACAAGATGAAAGCAGTTTGCAGAAACGTGAGCTCATGCATGTCCTCTGTCACTGTGAAGTCTTAGCTTATTGCTGGAGCAAGAGGGACAATGACAATCACTGGGTAGGAAAGAGATATGATGGCATTGTGTTTCCAAATGATCACCGTATATGCAACTAGACTAGAAGGTGGAGGCAACAAGAGCTGCCTCTAATCTCTTCTCAAACCAGGCTCTGAGATCATGAGCTGAGACAGTAGCAAAAGATAAGGGGATAGGTGGGAGAGAGGGATAAAAGAGTCATCACTCATGGAAAGCGAATTCACCAGATCTGGTTGTAAGTGAAAAGAAAATGGAAGGCAAAACACAGAGACAACATGTTCAGTGGTTGATTGGATGTGGAAAGAGGGAGGGAAGGATGAAGAGGTGGAGCACAGGATATTATCAGGGCAAGGAGTCAACACTGTGTGACGCTGCAACACAGGATGCATTTATCAAAATCCATAGAATGTGCAACACAAAGCGGACCCCAGCGTCAACTATGGACTTTAGTTAATAATGACATATCATCGATAATATTGGCTCATCCATTGTAACAAATACTCCACATTAGTGGAAGGGGTTCATTATAGTGGAGGCTGGAGCAGAAGAGACGAAGCGTCTGGGAACCCTGAGTACTTTCCATTCCAGTTTCCTGTAAATCTAAACCTGCTCTAATAAATAAAAGCTAATAACTAGGGAAAAAAATGGATGCTTACATGTTGTAATTGGGATACATGTTTTAGGATATGATTGTACATTCCTAACCTGGTTTATGTCTTCCTTTGTGTAGATCTTAAGTCATGCTGATCCTGGAGAGTGGGAAGAGGGGACCCTTCTCATGTTACTTTGCTGCATCATCACTTATAAGATTAGAACTTACCATCATTGCTTAAACATTCAACCACTAGCTTTAAACACTTTAAGCTAAGTTTTAAAAAAATCACCACAAGTTCAGTTTTAAAAAATTGTTTTCCATTTTACAGTTACTCAAACAAAAGAAACGAAAATTTTAGTGACTTAATTTTGATCTCCTTCCAAGGGTGAGCAGAGGCTGACAATGAAGTCATTCCTCAACTCCAGACTTTCCCTGTTGTGGGATCAAGCTGGGGCTTCAGGCCAGGAGGCAGGACTCACTGATTTGAGTTTCTGTGTGTCCCACTTGACTGCCTGGCTTCATGAAGGCCAGACACTGGGAGCCACAGAGTCAGTGGCCCTGAAAACACAGGCCACTTGATATTTCCTCCTTTGATTTTCCGTAGCTACTGACAGAAGAGAATTCAAGCCTCCAGCACCACCTTCAGAAGGTACCGCTGGAGTGAGCCACTCCAGACCACAGCCCCAGATCCAGTTTCAGACAAATGTTTTCCCTCTGTAACCAGGGCTGCAGATCCCAGGGCTAAGGAAGATGAAACGTGATCACTAGTCTACAGGATGCACATCTAGGAACAGCTTCTCTCAGTATCCTATTCCTGCCCGAGACATGAGCCTCTCTCAGCTGCAGATGGGTGGGTTAGCCACCCTGGGGATCCTTGAACCCAAGAAGGGACACAAATGGGTCACCAGGACCTGCCCTTCCACTGAACTGGGGCCACAGGCTCTCGCGTTGTGTGTGGGATGGCACCAGAATTGGGAGGGTCTTTACTGAAGGGACATGGGCAAAAACCACGTGGAAGACAGATTCCCAGGGTCTCTCCACCTCCCAGGTGACTATCTGTTTTTACTTTTGTTTTGTTTTTTGAAATGGCGTCTTGCTCCTGTTGCGCAGGCTGGAGTGCAATGGCGCAATCTAGACTCACTGCAACCTCCACCTCCCAGGTTCAAGCAATTCTCCTTCCTGAGCCTCACGAGTAGTTGGGATTACAGGCTTGCACCACCATGCCCGGCTAATTTTTGTATTTTTAGTACAGATGGGGTTTCGTCATGTTGGCCAGGCTGGTCTCGAACTCCTGACCTCAGGTGATCCACCCGCCTCAGCCTCCCAAACCAAAGTGCTGGGATTATAGGCGTGAGCCGCTGCATCTGGCCCCCAGGTGACTATTAATACTTTTAGGTCTTATCATTCTTTGTCGTGGAGGGCTGCCCTCTTCATTGTAGGGTGTTTAGCAGCATCCCTGGCCCTGACTCACTAGATACCAGCAGCAATATCCCAGCTGAGATCATCAAAAAAAAGTTTCCAGACATTGCCAGATGTTCCTTGGTGAGGATTTAAGGGTCACAAAAATCACCCCACTGCGAGAACGACTGGTATAGGAGATGCCCCTAATGTTACAGGGACTGGTGTTGGATAGGACAATAACTCTTACCTACTTTTCAACTTTTTAATTAGCTGCTGCCATGCAGCGCCCAAAGAAATAATCCACTGGATTCATGTTTCAGTAAATTATCTGTCCATTTTCAAAGAAAATGAGGGCTGAGAGCTGTCTATGCATCCATTCAACACAGAGCAGGTGAGGCTGAGTTTTGGCAAGCGATTCCACCAACAGAGCCTCCCAAGGTACTAAATCCCACAACAGAGAGGCTGGTTCTAATACAAAATGTGTCTTTGTGGGGAAAATTGCATCAGAATAGTTCATATAAAAAGGCCAAACTGCATGATTCATGTTGGAAGAGTATTTCTAAAAGTGAGCCCTGTTTTAAAAATTCACATTTTTATTTTTATCCGGGACTCTGATAGTTCCACTAGAGATCAATGATTCCTTCTCAGAGGGGGCATAAGAAGCAGTTGAATCTTGGTCTTCTATTGCTTGAAACCATTCCACCTCTGTGAACTCATTTCATATTTTAAGCTCCAAAAAAAGACTAAAGAATTTAACAAACTCCCATGTGACCACATATTGCTAACAGAACAACTTATAATTTTTTAAATGTCCACTTTTCTGAAAAGATATTTAGTATCATCTGCCACTGGACAGATTTCAGTGCAGTTCTGTCCCAATTTTGATCTCATCCAAAGCATTCATATGTGTGTATTAATTTATCTAAAATATTTTTATTGAGACTACTTTGTTACCAAAATTAAACTAAGCATTGGGAATGATTCTTCGGCTAAAAGGCATGACAAAGCCTGCATAAGACTGACAGTTCCGTAGAAGATACATTCAGCTAACTGGAAACTGAAATCTTATGCTACAAGGGCTATGGTGGGGAATGCAGGGTGCTCCTGTGTGGAAAGCATATAACCTAGACCCAGGGCCATGCAAGGATCCCTGTGGGCATAAGAAAACCCTGGCAAGATAACGGCAAGGAAGATCGTGCTACACAGAGGCACATGCAAGCCCCACATCGTGAAGGAATTGCTACTCTGTGGTCTCACACGTAACTACAGGACTGGCATGCCTGGCATATTAGCCTGGAAGATTCACCGCTGTACTAGGGGAAACACAGAAGGGAGGAGCATGTTCCATGAGGATGGTGGTGAGAATGACCCCCTCCTGGCTCAGGTGCAGGCGAGTCCCTTTTCCTTCACGTGCTTCACAGTCCTTCAGATTGGACTCAAGTTCTCTCCTCCTGGAAGTCTCCACTCCAGCTTTGATTTTTCGTTTCTCCAGTTGGTTCTGACATTCCAGAAGGTCCTAAGTAGGCTTCCTGTTAGAATTCTAGAACCCTAACTGCCAATACTATTCAAATAGGCACTTATTATATATTTTATTATGTATGCGTTTCCTGTACAAATTCTTTTGACTTTTTAGAAAAAAATGTTGAATAAATTCTTTAGGCATGGAGAATGCCTACCATAAGATTTGTTATGTTGTTTTGTTTTGTACCCCTGCCTTGTGAGCCTTACTCAGTTCTACAAATAAGTGGCATTTAGATCTGCAAAGAAGTGACTCAAGCAAGTGTAAAACAAGAAACAGAGAAGCACATATGAGTAGGAAAAAAAAAAAAAAAGCTACTCTAACAAATTGACCTCAAATGCAATGGTTCATACCACATAGAAGTTTCCTTTTCTGACCAATGGCAGTCCAGGGTGGATAGGTAGGTCCATCCAGAAGGTATCAAATCCAGAACCAGGTGACCTGGGCAGCTCACCATCCTCAAAACACGTTATCTTGAGATGCTCCAATCTTTGCAACTTATATCTAGTAGGAAGGAAAGAGGTCTTTTAGATTCAAGTTGAGCATATCATGGGTGCTCATAGTCTCCTGATGAGAACTGGATCCCATGGTCATGAGGGAGCTGGGAATTATAGTCTTCCTGGACACCTCTGACCAGGAAGAATGAGGAACTGATGTGTGCAGAGAAATGAGTGTCTCCTCCACCAAGCTCACCTCTTTGATACTCTCAAGCCTATTTGCTAGCTCCCATCAATCCATTATAGGCCCTCCCTTTTGCATCTCTACCGTAGGTAGAAGTACGGAAAACATTCTAACAAAATGTTAGTTCCAAAACTGTCTAACAATAATTATCTGGGATTTGTGTATCTGCAATAGAAGAGAAAACTACTCCACTATCCCTGTACCCCCACCATAGAGCATAGAAAAACGATGGTTTAACTTTTTGAGCTAAAATAAAAGAATCACGATGAAAGAGCTGTTTACAAATATGACATTCTTTTATGTACTTTTAGATAGAAGACATTTATCAGCAATGGTATCTAAAAACTGCAAAAGTAATTTATTGCTGAGCACGGACAATGCACGTTAAATTAAGTTTTAATTTTAGGACTTTCAAAATATGACAAAGGAAGAACAACAGAAAACTCACGTAACACAATTAAAAGTAGGTAAAGGACTTGAATAGATAACTCCCTAAATAAGGCATAAAATAAGCCAATAAACCCATGAAAACTTGTTCAACAACACTAATCACTACGGAAATTCAAATTAACACCACAGTGAGATATTGCCTCACATGCATTAGGATGACTAGTATTAAAAACAAGAACAGAAAATAAGACAGAAAGTAACGTGAGCTGGCCAGGTGTAAATCCACTGGAAATCTTGCGTGCTGTTGGTGGGAACATAAAGTAATGACGTAGCCACTATGAGAAACTGTATGGTGGTTCCTGAGGAGTTAAAAATAGAATTATTATATCATTCAGCAATTCCACTTATGGGCATATATACTTGAAAGAAGTGAAAACAGAATATTGAAGAGATTTTTGTACACCCATATTCATAGCAACATTATTCACAATAGCCAAGAAGTGGAAGCAATCCAAGTGTTCTTTAGTCCCTCCACCGAGAAATGAATACACACAATGTGGTGTCTACATACAATAGAATATTACTTGGCCTCCAAAAGGGAGGAACTGTTGACACATACTACACAGATATTTAAAGACCGAGGTGTAGAACCTGCGGGGAAGTACAGCAACATAGGCCAAGGAAGACAAAAGACTGAGTGGGACCAAATGGCAATAGTCTCTACCCTGAGGATATGATATTTGAGCTCAGGTTTGAAGAGTGAGTAGCAGTTAGCCAGAGAAAAAGGGACTCTGGGGGATGTGGCAGTGGGAGTGAGACCAAGATCTTACATACAAAAGTCCCTGGCAGGATAAAAATTGTCACATTGTAGGACCCAATGTCTCTGAAACACAAAAAGCAAGGGGACAGCAGAGGGACACAGCTATATCAGACAAGAGGTAGCCCATGGAGAGGTCATGAGTAGGCTTTTGCTTTTTAGGAGGCAAGGGAGAGGCCAGGCACAATGGCTCATTCCTATAATCCCAGCACTTTGGGAGGCCGAGGCTGGTGGATCACTTGAGGTCAGGTGTTCGAGACCAGCCTGGCCAATATGGTGAAACCCTGTCTCTCTTAAAAATACAAAAATTAGCCAGGCATGGTTTTGGGCACCTGTAATCCCAGCTACTCCGGAGGCTGAGGCAGGAGAGCCACTTGAACCCGGGAGGTGGAGATTGCGGTGAGCTGAGACTGTGCCACTGCATTCCAGCCTGGCTGACAGAATGAGGCTGTCTCAAGAAAAAAGAAAAAAAGGAAAGGAGGAAACAAAAACAGAAGGATTTTGGAATAGTGGAGAGGGTCATGTAAAAACCATTTTTATCTTGAAAAACCCTTCTGGCTGCAGCATGGAGATGTTCTTAGAGGACTCTTAGAATGGGTGCAAAGATAACGGCTAATAGGTTTCTCAGTATCTGCGGCAAGAGATGATGGCAGGTTGGTCCAAGGTATGGTAACTGAGATGGGAATGACCCAGTGGCATCACGGGGAGATTGTAGGTGTGCAGTAGGATATGGGTTTTCCAATTTCAGCAGAGCTGTAGCGCTACTTTGATATTTTAGGGTTTCATTGATGTTGAGTTGACAATGGGAATCCTAGGAGTGAATAGGAAGAGAATCTAGAGTGAATACGAAGACGATCGGCACTTAAGTAACTCCAACACAGATTGATCTATGTTTAGAGGTGACACTGAAAAAAAAAAATAGATTGAGAAGGCTATGTCACTGATATCAGACAAAAATCAGTGCAGGTCATCCATTTGAAACCGAAAACATAAGTGTTTCACAAAGTGGGGAGTGATCAGCAGTACAAATGCTCTTGCACAGTTAAGGAAGATGCATGGAAGTTGTCATTAGATTTGCTGGCCTGGGAATCATTGGCGGCCAGGAATATATCAGTGGAGTGAAGGGAGTGGCAGTCAGGCTGAGGGATTAAGACGTGGGAAGTTGGTCAGCAAACAGTGGCAAAATATAGTCTATATTCTTGAGACACTTCCCTGGGAGAGGGGAAATGTGGGTCTATAAGTAGGGAGGGATTTTGTTTGCCCATTGTGTTTTTCAAATGACTTAATAGAGGTATGTTTTAAAAATATTAAACTAATATGCTTTCCTATATATTCTCAATGAAACATGTTCTCTGGCGCTGTTCAATCACCACTGCTCTAGGAAAGAGGGAGAGTAGAAGCCGCCAGAGGATGGGAGGAGATAAGAAATGGGGGAATACCTGGACAGAAAGGTGGGAGCACGAGAGATGGAGACAGAAGGGGGCAATGCTGGGGCACACATTCTCCAACCCTCTTTCAGAAGGAGAAGGATTTTGAGCAGCAGGTAGGAGGAAAAGCTGTCTCTCTGGGATGAGAGAGAAGACTGATGAACAGGGTGCCCACTTACCCACTTACGATGCTGCTGTCATTACCTACAATGCAGTATCTGTGAGCATGCAGCTTGGTGAGGCGGGGAGAGCCTGGGGTGATCTTTCCTGAGGTATCCTTAGGGTTTCTGCAATATATTTTCCTTTGCCCAAAGGATTAGGAGGGTTCTGAGTACAGAGTCAAAGAACTTTTCTGAAGGTGTTTCAACAAACCAGCCAAAGTCTGCAGGGAGAGCTGCCCTGGCTGGGGACGGAATGGGGTCAGATCCAGATGCGAGGGTATACATACTGACCACAATGCCTGACATTAGACGGATAGAGTCCAGCTAAACCACCAAGTCATGAGAACACACTGAATTCACCACTCAGAGAACTGGAATCAAGTGTCACTAGGGCATCCAGCCACCAGAATGACAAGGAACTTCTTCAGGGACACACAAGGAACGTGAACTAGGAGAAGGAACTATGCACGGGGCCCAGGAGATTCCTCCTTGCTCAAGAACCCAGAGGAAATCTGAGTTGATGAATAAGACCATGTTTCCTGAACACATTTTAGCATTTAGAATCAGACTTAACTTTCCGGATTGGGTGTTAAAGGGACGTTTGCATCAGCTTTAAATTAATAAATAAGCTTCTTTGTATGTGATGTGCTCTTTGAACATGATGTGCAGAATTTGGGAACCTCACTAAATGGGGAAGATGTGGGCGCATTAATTAACGAGGATGGTCCAGGTAAGAGTGAACTGATGAGTGTAAGGGAGAGAGATATTTATCATAGGATAGGAAGGTGATGAATGATAGAATGTTAAAATGTTTTATCCAAACCCTTTTCATGCCACTCCACAAAATCATCTTCTAAACAATTAGTTTCAGACTTTCTGTGTGGGCCCTTTTTCTATTTCCACACCATCGCTTTTTGCCTTTCCCTGAACCAACACACTAAAGTCCTGCTGACGTCATCTGCTTCCAGAGAAGAGGTTCTGCATTGTGTCTACAAAGTTTCCGTCAAGTGAAAGCTGGCAACATAAATCTGTGTGAAATTGTACCTCCATAGAAGCAGATTTTTAAATACCCTTTCTTCATCAAAATGCTGGCAGCGAGAAGCAATCCTGATCCCACTGTATTTACCTGTTGATCCTGAATAAGCAATGCTTCATTTTTATTCGATCATCACTTAGACAGTTGTTCCATGCACTCTCCCATGCCTGACCCTTGCGTGTGTTCATCCTCAAAGCAGAACCAGCATAAGGGAAAGCCCAGGGTGCATGGAACCTTGTTTGCCCAGCTTCTTTCTTTCTTAGGTTTCTTTTCCTCCCATACCTTCCATGGGAAGCCCGAGCTTCTCTAACCTCAAATTTCATTATTTCTGTGCTCTCCCAATCCCAAGCCAGTAAAGCTCTGACAACCCAAATTAAACTATGTTGGTGCAATGATTCATCTCATCCTCTTGTGTTGCTCATCATGTAGTGAGTACCCCTGAGATCAGAACAGGAAACAGACAAGGATCCCTAAATTACTTGTTTGACAGTGAAATTGCACTCATCTTAGAAGGTCGGTAGAGAAACTTAGAGGTGCAGCTCATGGCCACGTGTGCCACGGTTTACTCAACAATGATGTTGTTGAGGATGGTGATGATATGATAAAGAAATATTCTGAAAACCCTTGTGGAAGAGCAAGTGGAATTTGATAGCAGTGCGCTGGTTTTTAAGAATGCCTCTAGAGGACTTAAAAATAGCCATTAAGCAGTTTTGCTGAAGCAATTAGAAAACCTTAGAAGAAAGTCCTCAGACATTTAATCAACGTTCCCTATAGCTGCATCCTAAAAATAAATATGAAGAAAAACAAGAATATACTCTGCATTGCAGTGGGAAAGTTTGGAAGGCAGAGAAAGATAAAAAGTTGCAAAAGAAAATAAAAAAGCAAAGCCGAGTGATGTGATAGCTTTGTAAGGTCACGCCTGGGCCAGAATGAACTACATTCTCAAGGATCGTCTTTCCTATGTCTTCTGAATGTTTGTAGCCACTGTTGTGGAAGATTTAACCTGGGGAAATGGAGGAGCAGCTTTTCCTCTTAAAAAAAGATAAAATTAATATAGGGTCTTGCTCTGTCGACTCAGCTGGATTGCAGCAGTGCAATCTCAATTCACTGCAGCCTCTGCCTCCTGGGCTCAAGTGATCCTTCCACCTCAGCCTCCTGAGTAACTGGGACCACAGGCATGCATCACCATGCTCAGCTAATTTTTAAATTTTTGTAGAGATGAGGTTTTACTGCATTGCCCAGACTGTCTTTAAAAAAATATATCTTACATATGTTATCACTAATCTGCAGATACTGATGGGAGGCACCAGCTGAACTTGCAGCTCCCTCCTTTTGAAGCTCCTTTATTCCTGGGCTAGGTGTGCGTGTGTTTAGCTCCATGACAGGGAGTCCCGTCCTCTGCACCCACATAAGCAAAGGTGCAGGTGACGAGAACTGACATGGGCTCAGTCTGTCATTCGGGCTTCAACCTGTGCTTCTGGGGCCCCGCTCACAATTCCTCCTCCACCTTATACCTATGTTTTCTTCCCAGGTGTCCAGACTGTGGACTTCAAAGTCCAGCATTAGACACAAAGGCAGTTCTGCAGAGATGGTTTAACCAGCTCCCAATGTTGTGTAAGGTCAAATACCTGAAGACAAATCTGTAGAGTTGCTATGTTTCTGGTTTAAATCTGACTTACCTGGAATTCGATAGTAAGAGTGGTTTCAGAGGAATGGAATCTTAAGGGTACAATTTGTGAGTTGTCTGTGTGTGTGTGTGTGTGCATATGTGTGTGTGTGTGTGCGTGTGTGTGTGTGTGTTTGGAATTGGTTTTCTGATCTGATTAGATTTAAAAGCACTAAGTGCCCTACTCCCAGTGGTAAAAGAGGGATAAGTAGTTCCTAGCATCAGATGGAGAGAAGGTCAGAAAAGAAAGAAAGAAGGAAGGAAGGAAGGAAGGAAGGAAGGAAGGAAGGAGAGAAAGAGAGAAAGAAAGAAAGAGAGAGAGAAATTCAAATTATCACCTTTACACACCTTTTATTAAGTGCCCATCTGAGTGACCAAGAATTTATTGAGTTTGACCATTTTAATGAAAATGAGGAATATAATTGGGTTGGTTGGCTAGTTCTAACTACACTGGAGAAGTTGGGAAAGAAAAATGATGAATTCAGGTCTTTAAATACTAAGCTCAAGTTCTATATAAGGATCCTAAAAGCTTGTAGATTGGTCCTGAAAGAAATCCTATCTCCAGTAGTCAGAGGACAAAGGCTTTTGAAAAGGAAACCCAAAAGCCTGTGGGTGGCTGAATTATAGCCAAAATTGAGTTCCAAACCTCATAAAGTCGCTTTTATTAAATTTAGGACGTTTACTGGGAAGGAGTGGGATTCTGAGGTTTGGGAAGGGAATATATGAGCAAATTCTAATTAATCTGGAAACTTTAGTTCTGACAGCCTTCCTTGCCTTCTTGGCCAGTAGAAGCAGTCCACAGTCCTGCCTGAGGAAGTTAGTCTTCCTTTGCTTGAAGAATCTCTAATGCCCACGACTGCCCATTAGTACTTGCACTGAGAGCCCTGCTAATCTTCATCAAGTTCTACTCCCACTCTGTCTTCTTCCTTCTAGACAGAGTTGACTCAAGTTTCAAACCTGTGATGGGATATGGTGCACATCCAAAGAGTTTCATGATCTGCCAATTAATATCAACAAACCCTGGGAAATAAGAATGGCAATGTACAATCTTAAGGGTGAGGGATTAAGACGGAAATAATATACAACTGTGTCATGCTATATGTTTTGATGTGGATTTATTGGTTCAGTGTCTTAGCTTGAGGGACTAAGAATGGCACTAATAATTTTCTCAATTGATTAGCTGAATCATGGACCCTGTGGTCCGTGACCTATACGACTCAAGGTTAAAATGTCAGAATGTTCTTGGTATACCATCGAGAAACATACCCAAAGGTTTAGGGAAATTGGGATGCAAGAGTGAGTTCCTGTAGCAGACCTGCTCACCCACCGGGATGTGCCTTTCCCTCAGCTGAGCCACAGTGCCGATGTCATGCTCAATTGTAAGCCATGGCATTACCAGTCAGTGTGAGCCATCATGAACCCATCATTATCTGATGTACTTTTCCAATGATTTTATTAATTGTTATTGCAACTCAGGAAGATAAGCAACATTTATTCTATTGCTACTTTTCTGAGTTGAGAAAATTGAAGTTCACTTAACATTATGCATTTTAAATATTGATAAAAATAGTACATGTATCTGTGTAGCTATCAATTTGAATAGCTGAACAATCAAGATAATAATGGATCAATAGTAAATTTATTCAGTTATGAACAGTACATTCAACCACATCTAAGGATAAATATTAAGCAAAAACAATTCAAGTCACAAACTTAAAATACTCTAAGTAAGGTCATGCCAAACTAATTTAAGAATATATCTGTGGTAAAAATACATCCTAGGCTACATTACATAGAGTGAGATTTGTGGGAAATAACTTGCCCTTTTCTTCTATTAAAGGGCAGAGTTTTTTGGAAAAAAAAGATAGTTCAATTTCCTCTCTCCAAGCTGTCTTTTTAAAATAACATAACATAACACATAGTTTGACACAACTCCACATGACTCAGAAGCCCTTCTTAAAATAAGACCAGACCACATTCATGGAGGCTGAGTCACCTCTAACCTTCCAAAGTTGGTGAGGATTACTAACCAGAACATATTTTTATTCCTAAGATAGTATGAGAAAGTTCTGATCTTGACAGTTCACGTAACATTCAATCAATTATACCATTGCTCTATCTCTAAAGTTTTCTTTTTCTCCTTTTCTCAGTGTCTCACCAAGAATAAAAGATAACCTATGTAAAAAGTATGGGTTTTCTAGTATAAATAAAAGCGACTCATCTCCAGAAAATAAACAATGACTGCTAAGATGACTGAAAAAAGAAAGGAGAAGAAAGTAGCTTGTAAAAGCGTGTGAAATTAATTCACGTTGGAATCTCTTAGGCACTTCAAATCTGAATTCTACTTTATCCTCTGTATTTTATGCCAGAGAAGCATTTCCTTTTCCAGAGTCAGGAAAAAAAAAAAAAAAAAAAACAAAAACTTTTTTTTAAACAAAATTCAGCATTTTTAAAATTAAAAATGGACACTAATGCATATATCCTAGACTAAACTGCATTGCATATCATGCTGTTGTGTGTGATAAGTTTATGTTTTCATGATTCTATCTGAAAGCTTAAAGACTCGCGTTTTACAAAAGTAGTTCTAGTACAATAGGACAGTAAAACTTGAACTCTTGAAGATCTTCATTGCAATTATTTTCTGTCAGACTATAGCTTTCAATTTCTTTATTTGATAAATGAAGATGGATAACATTGACCTCGTGTAACTACAACAAATTCAAGGGTGTAGACGTGTTTTTCAGGTCTTGAGGACTGTAAACTTTTTAAGCGTGATTGCTGTGAATGAAGGAAACACAGAGCCATCATGACTAGCCTAAACTCCAAAGGGACTGAGGGACTGATTTCTTCTACTCACTGAATATTTCATCAGTGATAGGGCCCAGATGATAAAGAATTGTGATCACTTCCTGTGAGTGATACCTTTCCCTCAGTTGTATGCGGAGTAATATTTACAGCATTCATTTTTAAGCACCCATCTTCTTGGGAGCCATATCTTCCCCTAAGCTTTCAGTTAACCCTCCTAAGAACAGGGATCACTTAGGCAGTGAGCTGCGTGGCTGCTGCCTGAGTCTCCTGGACCCCTGCCCTCACCTCCAGGCACACTAAAAAACATTCAAGCTTTAACTTCAGAAATGTTCTCTAACCCACTCCCAGACACCCAACTGATTTAATCATAGATTAGAGGAAAAAAATTCTTGCCTTAAATTGTCATCTTGCACGTGTGCCAATGTCCAGAAGGATACATCCTGGTGGGAAGTGACTGCATGTTTTGTTCATATTCCAAGTCCTGTTGACAAAAGAGAATAATACAGGTGTCCTCCTGAAACTGTCACCACAGTGACCTTCCTCAGTCAAAAAGAAACATAAATATTATTGTGTTTCTCATCTCTGAGGCACCTCTGAAAGCCTCTGTCTTTTCCAAGAGTTCAGCACTTCGTCTCACGGGTTAATTAAACCAACCTGTAGTGGCAAAGTTTAATGGTAGTGACAATAAACTTAATCCTGTTTCTGTTGCCCAACTTTTCAGTTTCATTTTGTAATTTTTCAATACAGGGGCGCTAGAAGTGACAATCCTGGATGCCAAATGATTTCCATTTCTTTCTCTGCTACCTGCCCTGCCCCAACACCTGCCACCTTTCATTTACACAATTCGAGTAATCAGGGGGCAGTTTGCTCCCTTTTTCTGCAGGCAAACTTTTGCAGAGTTTTAACTTACTCAGAGGGAAGAAAAGCCCCCAAAACACTGAAGCATACCAAGCAAATAAATAAATAAATGCACAAAGGCTCCCTGCAGTTGTCTGACGAGGATATTGGAGCAAGCAGCCTGAAGAACAAACGTCTGACTGTTGAAACAGTGAGATAGGAATAAACCCATGGGGCCACATCTGGGAGTGTGAGTGTGTGAATGGAACTAAGCTGGTCTCCCACACAACAGGAATTCCACCAAAAGTATGCGCTCTGTATGGGAGGACAGAAAAAAAAAAATGTGTTTAAAATATCACTAAGGAAACCCAGATACATTATCTCTGCCAGAGTACAGAAGACAGTACAGTTAGTGCTTGTCTCAAAATGATGGAAACAGAGAACATGCTTTGATGATGTCGAAGATGCAGGAAAATAGAAGAATAAAAACGATGGAAAGATTTTTTTTAATGTCCTAAAATGAGCAAGACGCCTCCCTTTTCATAGCACCAGGAAACATTTCCATTGCTTTTTTTTTTTCATACTTGTGGCTTTTTGAGGGCAAAGAGTAAGTGAAATTCAAGAATTTGGTCTTTCTACTCCAAAATTTTGGCTGTCGTAAACTCGTAAACTTATTGTTCAAATATCAAAATGGTTGTTCCTGCTTTGACACCTGTGAAACAATTTGTCTCAATATCAAGGCACAGTTTTTAAAGTTATGTTTTGACTCCAGAAATATGTTTGACCTCAGAATTTTGAAAGTGTGTTTTGACCTTTAGACTCTTACTTTGAGAAGACATATGTGTGCGTGTGTGTATTTGTAGCACGCCTGTGTGTGTTTGTGTAGAGCCTTACGTTTTATTCAGTGGCTTAGCTCCATGTCAATTCCAGTTAAATTTTAGCATTATAATAATACAATGAATTACTCTCTAAAAATAGGTTGAAATGTTTTTATATTTGTGAAGTTTAGGCAAAATGACATCATCTGCAATATCTTTTAACAGATTAGCCATTGTAAAGGTATAATCGTTAGGAATAATAATTGTCTGCATCATAATAATTTCCTGTTATTCCTAAGGCAAACGCTGGATGATTATTCTTTCAGTGTGGATCAGCCTGATTTCAATCCATCTGTGCTTCCCAGGGCCGACTCCTGAATTCCTGCTCCATGCCATCATGCCTTACTGGCTCTCCTGTTGTTACATTCGGTCATAATGTTAAAAACTCAGACTATTAAAATGTAAAGATATGAATTCTTTTGGAAATTGTCAACGTGGAAGAGTCTACAATCTGCTTTTGATTTAGAGGCAAAATGGCTTACTTAATGCAACAATTTCACATCATGAGGCAGCGTTTTCTATTGCTGAATTAGTGTGTTAAAGTGATAGTGAGGTTTTCTGTTGACTCTGGAAGCAACAACAAAAATGGTGGTGCTTTCTCCATACCCATGTTCATAGATATATCATCACAGGTGACACTCAAACTTTATTTGATTGTTTTTTTTCTTTTTTGGCTGACTGCTTGAAACACATGTGGCCCCAGGAAACAAGTAGAGCCACCCAGGGAACTAAAAAACAAGTGAGTAACCGAAAACTGTAATCCACGTGCAGTAGAAATCCTTAACTCTTGTTACAGAGATGCCTGGAGGTTAATTCACAGGACAGGGATGAATTATCTATTGATGGGATATTTTTTAAAATATCACCCAAAAGTTTGTCAGCATATACATAAAATTAATTCAAATAATTTGATGTGAAAGCTAAAGAATGAATTAGTAAATTTTAAGAAAACAATAAACCCAGATAATAAGACAAATTGTAGATGACAACAATCACAACTTACTGATTCTAAGATGCAGTTTTCTACTGCTTAAAACCCTTTGAAGTCTTAACCAAATACCCTGTCACTATTTTTATAAACTCATTTATTTTGAACCATTTATTAATTGATACACAAGCACACACTTTTTAGTGGTAGAAATTGTAATAAATAATTCTGACACTTTAGTTAACAGTTTAATCTAGCTAAAAGATAAATTTCCCGACAAATGTGTTAAATGACAAATTTTGTTTTTCATCATAACCCGTGTTTGAGTCTAAAGGTGGTAGTTACAATATCTAAAGAGAAATTTATATCATATGTCACTGGATAAAACAAGAGGCATGTCTGACTTTGGGAAAGCCTGAATATATAGCACAGACAGGCACTTTTTAATGGGCCTTTCCAGGACTCAATAATCATTTTCTAAATACATTTGCAAAAAATTTCAAATAACACACTTCAAATTAAAGACCATGCAGACTCGAGTGTTTTACTACCAATATTTATCCATTTACATACCATAGAATTGCAAAATTGAACATTTATACAAAAGTATTTTAAAATGCCCCTAATTAAAACCATATTTTCTGCAAAAATACAAGGTATAGACTCTTAAGGACCCTGACAATTTTTTTTCTCTATTAGAACACAAGGAACACAGACAGATATAAGAATAACAAAAATATCATAAATAGATTCTCTTATTCTACTTAAGGCCAAACCAGTTTTCAAGATAAATTACACTGCAGATAACTCGGAATTAAACAGGCTTTTGTTGCCCAAACTCTCCCACCTTCCACCCAAGTTCTTGATGTTTCGAATTTTTCTATTTTTATACCTGGTATATGGGGATTTTTATATGAGTATCTATTCTTGTTATAAAATAACAAGAATGATCTGTAAGATAATCAACAGCAGTTAATTTGGCATTTATGATGTAAAATTGCCTTCGAGAAATACTTGTAACCAATACAAAGTATGCAACCTAATTTACGCCAGCAATAACAGCATTTTTCTATTAACTTGTAGGGCAGCGAGTTTCTACCCTGGGGATTCATTTTTTAGCCAGCTTGCACAGGGATGAAAGGAAAACGCATATCTGCTATTTTACAGCAGGCAAAGAATATGGGCAACTAATGCGAGAGTTAATCCTGAAGAGGGTAAAAAAAATATGCGGTACATTTATTTATAACAACAATATAAAATTGATTTTTGCAGAACGGGTAAAAATACAGATATGATGCGTGATTTTCTACGTCAAACTCTGTGACACCTCCCTTACCTACCATGCATCATTATCCTAACAACATCCTACTCTTTCTCTCAATCTTAACAAACAAATCAGAGTATATGTGTCATCCTAATTCTCATCTAATTTGAATCACGTTTTGACTGTCAACTTAAAAGTTAGGCAACAGATCCAAGAATAACATCAAAACGTTTAACAACCATGGTGGTACAGGCAATGAATAATCCACAAAGATTGGCTGAAAGCAACAGAAAGCACACAGGTGTGAACTGACAGAACATTAGCCTTGCATATTGCTGAAGCTCACCTTAAACCAGCACTAGTTCTCTCTGGCTGCTTTCTTGGGGCATGGAGGGCGAGTATTGTGGAAAGGCAGAGTATTGTGGTCAGGATGCCCTGTGCAGGACCTCATGCAATTGCTGTCTCCCTGTTTCTTCGTGGGCAAATCCCTGAGACTCACTGAGTAGACATCTTCATCTGAAAGAGAGGGTTAATAGAAAATAATCCACACTTCAGGATGTGAAAAAATCACGAATGAAGGATTAACCATTACACCATCCATAGAATATGCGTACCTCTACTAGGTAGCAAAATTGAAAAGCCAGCACAAACAAAACAAAACAAAAGCACCTAATGCCTGGTTGGGAGTGCTGGACCGTCTCCTCACTCAAGTTCTCTTGTACTCCCTGCACTAACTTAGCCACGCACTTCCTCGTAGACAGATCTCCATTGACAGACTGGGCACACAGGCAGCCCAGTCCACAGCCCCCAGGTACAGTGGATACACTAGTATGTGACCATGCACACACAGGCTGTGCTGCTGCTAGGGACAAGGAAGGCAAGACCCTGAAGTTAAGCTTGGTGTAAAGACTGTTTCTGAGGTCACCTTTGGCTGGTGAGACAATTGTTCCCCCATGTCTTTAGGGAAAGGAAAAAAGGGATCCTACCTTCTTAGAATGCTAGAATAACCCTGGTATATGCTTGGTACTGGCCCTGAGGATGGAAATGTATCTCAGTTTGATTGTAAATTCTGTCTGAAGACCCATAAGAGGGCATGCCTTCCACACCTGCATGGCACGGTGCTAAGACTCTGAGCCAAATGACTGAGGGCAGCTCTGCCAGTCTGCAGTGTTATGGGCCTTCAAGGCTTGCACTAGGCTGAGGTTTCCAGGTAACATTAACACTGGGAACACTGCTGTGGACCCTAATAACAAAGGAAATGTGAAATGGGTCTAGGAGCAACAAAAGCAATAACGGCAAAAACTAAGACATGACCATTTCTTTTCTGAATTAAAAAAAAAAAATAGTTACAATCTTTAAGGAATCTCCACACTGTTTTCCACAGTGGTTATACTAGAAACATTCCCACCAGCAGTATAGAAGTGTTCCGTTTTAACTGTATCCCACATATATATATATATTTTTATTTCTTCATTAAGGCCTTTCTTGCAGGAGTGAGGTGGTATCTCATGGTGGTTTTGATTTGCATTTCTCTGATCATTAGTGATGTAGAGCATTTTCCCATATGTTTGTTGGCCATTTGTATATTGTATATCTTCTTTTGAGAATTGTCTATTTGTGACCTTAGCCCACTTTTTGGTAGTATTGTTTGTTCTTTTCTTGCTGACTTGTTTGTTCTTTTCTTGATAACTTGTTTGAGTTCCTTGTAGATTCTGGATATTAGTCCTTTGTTATATTTATAGATTGTGATGATTTTCTCCCACTCTGAGGGTTGTCCATTTATTCTGCTGACTATTACTTTTGCTGTGGAAAAGCTCTTTAGTTTAATTAAATCCCACCTATTTATCTTTGTTTTTGTTGCATTTGCCTTTGGGTTCTTGGTAATGAAGTCTGCCAGCAATCCCACTACTGTATATCTACCCAGAGGAAAAGAAGTTATTATATGAAAAGGATATCTGCACATGCATGTTTATAGCAGCACAATTGACAATTGCAAAAATATGGAACCAGCCCAAATGCCATCAATCAAGGAGTGGATGAAGAAACTGTGGTAGATATATACGATAGAATACTACTCAGTATTAAAAAAGAAATGAATTAATGGCATTCACAGCAACCTGGATGGGATTGGAGACTACTTTTCTAAGTGAAGTAACTCAGTAATGGAAAACCAAACATTGTACGTTCTCACTCATAAGTGGGAGCTAACCTATGAGGATACAAAGGCATAAGAATGATACAGTGGGCTCTGGGGACTTGGGGGAAAAGATGGGAAGAAGGTGATGGCAAAAGGACTACAAATCACGTTCAGTGTATACTGCTTGGGTGAATGGAGGAACCCAAATGTCACACATCACCACTAAGGAACTTACCCATGTAGCCAAATAGCCCATGTTCTCCAAAACCTACGGAAATAAAAAAAAATTTAAAATTGTTTCAATCAATTTCCTAAAATAACCATTTTTCAATCTCTAATTTCAAAAAACAACACATCTTTGTTTTCAGAACCGTGTCAGATTGAAGTCCTGAGAGAGAGACTCTTTCTCTTAAGGAAGGGTCAATGAAGAGTTAGCTTTCTGTCTCAGTCTTAACTGTAATTCTAAGGTTTGCTTTTGCTCACCATTTTATCCACATAAATTAAATATCGGTTAACAAATTTAATTACAGGTTTGTTCTTTTTTCAAAATTGAATACCTTTACTGATTTTGCCTTATTGAGTAACATATACTTGGTGTTAAAAACAAAAAACCTACACACTCACAACATACAAACGAACAGAAATCTAAATTCAAATGTAAATTCTACTCACCCCCAAAAACATTCCACCTCTTGCAATAAGAACCACATAAAACGTTATTATTATTCAGAGTGCTTTTATGCCTGATCAGTAGTGGTGCCTGGTAGAATTTTGACATGACACGCCGTCAGGAAAAGGGAAAACAGCTGCTCTGGAGTCATGTTACAGTTTCGCTGCGCCAACCTGGAAGAATCATGACTGTCAAAAGCAATCAAACTAACACCTAAGTCCCCATTCATTGTGAGTGAAGGTGTTTTGCCAGAGTGCCAGTGGAAAGTTCTGGGGACGCTGCTCTGGCAAGTGACAAGAGTAGTGATTTGGCTTCTCAAATCTTAATTTTTCTGGTCAAAAAATGGATTGGAAGATGTTGTCCAACGAGAAAGGTTTTGAGATTCATTTTTCCGATGGAGAGGCATTGATTCATGTAAATCTCAAAGCCTGGTAAGCTAAGCCACTTTTAAGGGAACTGTAAAGTCCAAGAAAGCAGAAGGTAGAGAGAGTTTTCTAAACTATGGCTTATTTGGTAAGTCTCTGTAAATGAAACTTGTCCCCTGAACACATTTTGTGTTTCTTTGGGTCAAAGACTCCCAATGTCCAGATCATTATGTGAGGACAGTTTGAGCCCAGCGCTCTCTGACTGAGGTAGAACCCCTGTGAAGGTGAAGAGGGCAGCCCTCTGCGAAACAGCCCAGCAGTTAAGAATGGGCAGCACCTCGCCAGGCGCATTTGAGAGCTAGGAATGTGGCAACAACAACATTTATTTATTTGGATTAAGAGAAGAGGATGTATTGGATACCCTGAAACAATCATTGACCTGCCTGAATCCCAACTGTTGCACTGACTCCACTAATTCACCAATCCACTTGAGTTGGGAGGAGAACTCATGCATAGAGGTTTATGCATAAACAGACCTGAGCATCTAGCATGATGTTAAATTTATATGACCACAGAACTACAAAAGGAAATAACTATAATCTCACCTACCACAGTGCTGCTGACACTTGGATAACATGGGTTTGAACTGCATGGGTCCACTTAGACAATAACTTTTTCAATAACTATATTTGAAATGTTTTTGGAAATTTACAACAATTTGAAAAATATTGTAGACGAGCCATGTAGCCTAGAAATATTAAAAAGTTAAGAAACAGTTATGGCATGAGTGCATAAAATATATGTAGATATTATTCTATTTTATCATTTACTACTATAAATATATGCAAATCTATTATATGAGGTTAAAGTTTATCAAAGTCTAAGGTCACGAACTCTCATCGTTTGTACACGGCACCCTTCACAGGCAAAAGAAATATAAGTCAATGTGAAAATGCAGTATTAAATCATAACGGCATGAAAGTAACTGTGGCACATACTGCACTATTCGGATAATTTCACAGGTACCTCCCACTGCTATTGTGGTGAGCCCACGTGTTGTGAGTTTCTGCATAAAGCCCTGCAATGCTGATCATTGCCACGTGGGCAGTTTGTCTGTCTAGTTAATTGTATACCGTAGTAAAAAGTGCTCTCGCAGTTCTTGCATATTTTCCGTGTTTAGCACAATATGGTAAACACTGAATAGCACCATGAAACCCACACGAAGGGCCACTGGTGATGTTGCAAGGCTCCCAAGAAGCAGAGAAAATTCACGACATTACAAAGTCAGTTAAATTGCTTCATATGCACTGTGGATTGCGGTCTGCAGCTAGGGTTTCCCATTGTTTTAAGATAAATGAATCAGCCTAAAGATCATTGTAAAAAAAGAAAAGGACATTGGAGAGGCCATAACCACAGCTATGCCAGCAACAGCAGTAGTTACATTTCTGAAGAGACAAAATTTGTAAGTGGATTTTCAAGGCTTAAGGGTAACACTCCCACCTCCTCGTTGTTCAAGGGTCAACTGTATTGCAGTCAAAAACAGAAATTAAAAAAAAAAATCCTTCCAAAAAATAAAATTGTATTACACACTTGCTAATACAATTTTAACACACAATTTTCTTCACCATCAATATAAACTATGCTATGCCAGGTTTCCTTATTTGTGATAATTCACGTGTTACTTATAGTTTACTTCAGATATGGTTCTTTGTGTAAAATTTATTTATTTATTTATTTTTATTATTTGTTTATTTTTTATTTTTCATTTTTGAGACAGTCTCACTCTGTCGCTCAGGCTGGAGTGCAGTAGTGTGATCTCAGCTCACTGCAACATCTGCCTCCTGGGTTCGAGCGATTCTCCTGCCTCAGCCTCTTGAGTAGCTGGGATTAAGGCGTGTGTCACCATGCCCAGCTAATTTTTGTACTTTTTTTTTAATAGAGATGGAGTTTCACCATGTTGGCCAGGCTGGTCTTGAACTGACCTCAAGTGATCCGCCCACCTCAGACTCCCCAAGTGCTGGGATTACAGGTGTGAGCCACCATACCTGGACTTCTCTGTGTAAAATGTAAATGCGTCTTTTTTAGCTAAGAAACATAAAACTTTCTACTCATATTTTACCTTTTCTCTTCTTTTCCAAATACATGTGATACCTTGTTCTTGTGGTAGAATGTTACACATAGAAATAAATTTAGTTAGAAACAGCAGGCCTGAAAATGGATTAATGAAATATTTCAGACAGGGCAAGCAAGTCCATTTCCGTATGATGGGTGTTTGCATTTATCCATTGGAACTGCTATTCATGGAGACACAGCAGCATCCCCCGAGAAGGCTGATAGCACCGGCTTCCCTTCCCTTCAGGGGCAGCAGCAAGCTGAGCCTCTGATGTTGTGTTTGACAACGCAGACACAGCTTGAAGGTCTTGCGGGCTTGGTTCCAGACCCCTGCAGTAAAGTAAATATTAAATAAAGCAAGTTTTACACAGGCATTTGGGTTTCCCAGTGCATATAAAAGTTAGGCTTACACTATACTATAGTCTATTAAGTGTGCATTGGCATGATGTCTAAAAAATGTACATAGGTTAACTAAAAATGTTTTATTGCTACAAATGGTAACAATCAATAGTGAATTCTTTCCAGATGTTTTCAATTTACTTTGCCCAGACCCATCAGAGGAATCATTATCTATGGCAGTTATCACCATACCAAATGTATTTCTTAAGTAGTAAAACTTAAAAGTCAAAATTACTCTTTGATCCATGGGCTGCAGAATGGATGTTGTGTTTGCAGGCATGAAACAGAATTAACCTTCTTGCACGTCTCCATCAGAGCTCTTGGGTCACCAGGGGTACTGTTAAGGACCACTAACACTTTGAAAAGAATCTTTTTTTTTTTCCTGAGCAGTAGGTCTCAACAGTGGGCTTAAAGTATTCAGTAAACCATGCTGTGGACAGATGTGCTGTCACCCAGGCTTTGTTGTTTCATTTATAACACACAGGCAGATTATGTTCAGTGTAATTCTTAAGGGCCCTAAGACTTCTAGAACGGAAAATGAGCACTGGTTTCAATTTACAGTCACAAGCTGCATTAACTCCTACTAAGTGAGCTAGGCTGTTATTTGAATCTTTGAAGTCAGGCATTGGACTTCTGTCTAGCTGTAAAAGTCCTAGATGACATCTGCTTCCAAAAGAATGTTGCTTAATCTACCTTGAAAATGTATTGTTTAGTGTAGTCACTTTCATTAATGATCTTAGCTGGATGTTCTGCATAAGTTGCTGCAGCTTCTCCATCAGCACTTGCTGCTTCACCTTACACTCATGTTATGGAGTTAGCTTGTTTCCTGAAACCTCATGAACCAACCTCTGCTAGCTCCAAACTTTTCTTCTGTGGCTCCCTAACCTCTCTCAGCTTTTGTAGAATTGAAAAGAGTTAGGGCTTTGCTCTGGATTCAGTTTTGGTTTAAGAAAATGTGGTTGGTTTTATGTTCTATCTAGGATGCTCACACTTTCTCCATATCAGCAATAAGGATGTTTTGTTTTTTTGGTCATGCGTATGTTCACTGGAGTAGCACTTTTAATTTCCTTTAAGAACTTCTTTGCATTCACAGCTTGGCTAACCGCTTGGTGCAAGATGCCTTGCTTTTTGTCTGTCTCTTCTTTTGACATGGCTTTGTCACAAAGCTTAATTTTTTCTAGCTTTTGTTTTAAAGTAAGAAATGTACAATTTTTCTTTCATTTGAACATTTAGAGGCCATTGTAGGGCCATTAATGGGCCTAATATCAATACTGTTGTGTCTTATGAAATAGTAAGGCACAGAGAGAGATGGGGGAATGGCCAGTGAGTGGGGCAGTCGGAAAACATGGTGTTTATCTACTAAGTTTACAGTCTTACGTGGGCACGGATCATGGTGCCCCAAAACAAAGTAAATAGTAACATCAGGGATACTGATCACAGATCCCCATAACAGATACAATAAAAATAGAACCATTTGAAATGTTATGAGAATTACCAAAATGTGACAGAGGTAGAAAGTGAACACATGCTGCTGGAAAAATAATGTCAATTGACGAGCTGAATGCTGGGTTGCCACATACCCTCAGTTTGTAAAAAACACATTATCGCAAAGTGAAATCAACTGAAGTGAGGTAAAATGAGGTGTGCTTCTACTTTGTCTTGAGCAGTTTTGTTTAAAGTGTCCAGGACCTGGTACACCAACTTTCAGGACTCCCCAAGTCCATTCACCTTCTCTCCCAAGCACAGTTCTCCCAGCACCCTTCTGCCAGCCCTAGAGAGCCCTTTGTGGAGCTGGACAGGAGTCTATCATGGACAGGGTCAGAAGCCCCGGCTCACCCACCCCTTTGAGGTAAGATAACCTCCCTGGGGGTTCCTCCTCTCCATGGGGCAGAGCCAGGCCATCAATCTCTGTGCAAAAGTCAAAATATTGACCATACTGCATTGAATATTTTTTTGTAAAAGAAACTTTGGGATGTGTGTTTTTAAAAAAATTTTTTTTAAAAACTTGGTGTGGAGAATGAAACTAATATCAGCCACTTACTATGCCAAACCTAGTGCTAAACGTTCCACTGACATATTTTATGTATGTTAGCAATAAAAGAAAAGGCAAAGCTTGAAATGTTTTTCATTTCTCTCTACACTCCATGTGTGTCTCATTTTATAATAAAAATCATGCTGACAAGTAGCAGAGTATTTCAATAAAACAACATTTT